AATGTGTTATCAGTTTGGCTAGGCCATGATTCCTGGTACTGTGTGATTTTCCTGTATGTTGTAAACCTGCCTCTATGGTGTGAATGAGGGATGATGGGTGGCAGTTGTGTTAGTAAGGCAGGACCTGATCTACAAGACTGGATTGTGTCCTGAGGCAATCTCTTGAGATATAAAAGACAGAAGCGCACAGAGAGACAGGCGGACCTCAAACCATCAAAAAAGCAGTGCCCGGAGCAGAGCGTGTCCTTTGGACCAGGGTCCCTGCTCCGAGAAGCTCCTAGTCCAGGGGACACTGATGAGAAGGCAAACAGAGAGAAAGACTTCCCCTGGAGCTGACACCCTGAATTTGGACTTTTAGCCTGCTTTGACTGTGAGGAAATAAACTCTTCATTAAAACCATCCACTTGTGGTACTTCTCTTATAGCAGCACTAGATGACTAAGACAGGAGCCCTGTCGCTGGGTGTGTAAATATTTATTATAGTTATGTCCTCCTGGTGTATTGCCCTTTAATCATTATGTAGTGTCCTTCCTTATCCTTTGTGGTGGATTTTACTTTAAAGTCTATTTTGTCAGAGATCAGTATTGCCACTCCTGCTCTTTTCTGAGTGTTGTTTGCTTGATGTAATTTTTTCCATCCTTTGAGTTTTAGTTTGTTTGTGTCTTTAAGGTTTGTCTCCTGTAGGCAGCATATAGACGGATCATGTTTTTTTATCCAATCTGCTATTGTCTCTTTTTTGCTGCATTTAGTCTGTTTACATTCAGCGTAATTATTGGTAGGTATGAGTTTAGTGCTGTCATTTTGATGTCTTTTTTTGTGTGTGCTGTTCACAGTTTCCTTGTTCCATTTAATTTTCTGTGCTGAGTCGTTTTTCTTTTATTTTCATCTTTTTCATTGTTGATTTTGTGTCTGCTCAGTCTTTATATTTTTCTAGTTTTTTTATTTTGACTTGTAGGATTGTTAATTTCCTTTGTGGTTACCTTAATATTTACCCCTATTTTTCTAAATTTATACCAGTCTTTTATTTCTTTATATCACCTTGACTTCCTCTCTATATGAAAAATCTATGTCTACATGTTTTAAGTCCCTCTTTTTTGTTCTCATGTTGTCATCTTTTCCATATTGACATCTGTTTCCCTATTTTCAGTGTTTTAGCTTTGATTTACTTTTGTGACTTCCCTGTCTGGGTTGATATCTGGTTGCTCTGTCCTGTGTTCTAGTCCTGGATTGTCATCTGATGTTACTGATTCTTCTAACCGGATGACTCCCTTTAGTATTTCTTGTAATTTTGGTTTGCTTTTTGCAAATTCCCTAAACTTCTGTTTATCTAGAAATGCCCTAATTTCACCATCATATTTGAGAGACAGCTTTGCTGGATATATAATTCTTGGCTGGCAGTTTTTTTCCTTCAAGGCTTTATATATGTCATCCCATTGCCTTCTTGCCTGCATGGTTTCTGTTGAGTAGTCCGAGCTTATTGTTAATGACTCTCCTTTGTAGATGACTTTTCGTTTATCCCTAGCCACTCTTAAAATTCTCTCTTTATCTTTGGTTTTTGGCAAGTTTAATTATCATATGTCTTGGTGACTTTCTTTTGGGATCTACCTTATGTAGGGTTCGATGAGTATCTTGGATAGATATTTTGTCATCTTTCACAATATCAGGGAAGTTTTCTGCCAACAAATCTTCAACAATTCTGTCTGTATTTTCTGTTATCTTCCCCTGTTCTGGTACTCCAGTCACTCATAGGTTATTCCTCTTGATAGAGTTCCACGTAATTCTTAGGGTTTCTTCACTTTTTTAAATCCTTTTATCTGATTTTTCCTCAAATAAGTTGGTGTCAAGTGTTTTATATTCAGTCTCACTAATTCTGACTTCCGTTGTCTCAATTCTGCTCCTATGACTTTCTATTGAGTTGTCTAATTCTGAAATTTTATTGTTAGTCTTCTGGATTTCTGATTGCTGTCTCTGTACAGATTCTTGCATCCTGTTCAATTTGTCCTTATGCTCTTCTCTAATCTTTTTAATTTCCTCTATTGCATGTTCTGCGTTTTGCTTAATTTCCTTCCTAATTTCTTGAAGAGTTCTGTATATTAATCTTTTGTATTCTGCCTCCAGTAATTCCAAGAAATTTTCCTCCTCTGGAAAATTTCTAGATTCTTTATTTTGGGAACTTGCTGAAGCCATCATGGATTGCCTCTTTATGTAATTTGATATTGACTGTTGTCTCCGTGCCATCAATAAGTTATTATATTTATTTATTTTATGTTTGCTTACTGTGTCCTAGCTTCTTGTTTTGTTTTGATATGCCCAAATAGGCTGCTCGTATGAGCTAGTTTGATTATTGGCAGCTTTGAGGCTCTAATGTCCTGTCACCAGGTGGTTAGATGTTAGTAGGTATGTGAGCTCAGGAGTCTGCCCACTCCTCCTGTATGGATTCAGTTCAGGTGCCCAGGTAGATAGCCACCAAGTGTGTGGTGTAGGCTGTCACTTACAGTCCTAGACAGGCATGGGTGATTGGCACAGGCATCTGGCTGCAGCAGGGGGACACACTCTGAGCAAGGCAGGGAGCTGACGGCTGTCCCCAAGTGTCCAGGAGGAAGGCATGTCCCTGTTCCCTACAGCATGTAGGTGGGTGGATTTTGCAGTTAGACTATGAGCACCTAATGCTGTTGGCTGTAAGGACTGGGGGGCACTTCTTATTCATGGACCCCTATCGAAGGTGGCTGGATGGTGTGAGTGGAGCCACCAGTCCTCAGGCCCCTAATGTGGGTAGGTGAAGACCCTGCTTAATGGGCAGAGCAGTGTCAAATGTCAAGAACCTGCCACTTCACAGCTGAAACAGTTGAAGTTAGAGTTCCAGTATATACCGTTGTATTGCAGTAATAACGGCCTGTGCTGTTGAAATGGACCCACACAAGTCTATGCAGGGGGAAAGGCACTCAAAGTCCGTGGATCCCTTATGCCTGTGCATAGGCAAAGGAGCTGTGCCTACCCTGGGTTCCTGGCTTAGGGGAGCCAGCAGTTTATTTTTTCCCGTTTGTTAATTTGTTCACTCTCCAAGGCAGGGACAATGGCTCCGGGAGTGTGACAGATGCTACTTCTGGCCCAGGGGACTCAACAGTTGCTGAAGCCAGTCTGGGACCCAGTGCAGAGCAGGGAGCAGGGACATAAATTGGAGAGAAGTTTTTCCCTAAGGGGGGTGTTTTTGTTCCACGCTATAGGCCGTACGCAATTACTTATCTTTCGCCGGATCGGGGGCTGCTTCTCACTGGTTCTGGGTAGCCGTATAATGTCTCTGGTGCTGGGTCTCTCCCGGTGTGGAAAATGCACCTCCCGTGTACGGCTGCTTGTTTGCCTCTCCGCTCACACCTGAGCTGATTAGGCCTGAAGGGCTCAGGCTCTCGCCGGGTCACGTCTAGCAACTCCTCGCTGTTTCCGAACCATCTCTTCCTCCCCCTGGCACTCCGTCTGGTTCCTCAACTCTGCCATTGATGTTCTGGGCTCCCAGATTGCCATATATAATCGACTCACTTGTTTTTTGGGTCTTTGTTGTAAGAGAGTCCACCGGAAGTGTCTGACTACTCCATAGTCTTGGCCCCGCCTCCCCCTTTAAGATCTTGCTTAGAAATCTCCTCAGCCGAATATCCAAGTTCATCACTTAGAAGTAGTACCTTCCACCAAACATTTGAACGTAATTCAGACAAGTTCTTTGCCACTGCATAAAAAGCATCTCCCTTCTTCCACTGTCCGATCACACGTTCATCATTTTCTTTTAAAGCCTCACCAGAGGCACATTTAACATCTATGTTTCTAGCAACATTCTGTTGCTGGCACCATATGTATTCTCTAAGATGATAGAGACTTTCTCTATAGCTCTCCTCACTTCCTTCTGAGCCCTCACCAGAATTGCCTTTGACATCCATGATTCTACCAACAGTCTCTTCAGGGAAATCTAGGCTTTTACTAATAGATACCTGAAAACTCTTCCAGCCTCTACCGATTACCCAATTCCAAAACCGCTTCCATATTTTAGGTATCCGTTAGGGTAGCACCCCACTCACGATACCAAATTCTGTCTTAATTATCTATTGCTGCTATAATGGAAATACCACAAGTGGGTGGCTTTAACAAACAGAAGTTTCTTTTCTCATAATTTAGGAAGCTAGAAATCCTAATTCAGGGTGCCAGCTCTAGGGGAAGGCTTTCTCTGTTGGCTCTGGAGGAAGGTCCTTGTCTGTTTTGAGCTTCTGCTCCTGGGCGATCTTCATGTGGCTTTGCATCTCTCTTCCTCTATCTCTGCTTCTTAGCTTGCTTGTTTAATCTCTTTTATATCTCAAAAGAGATTGACTCAAGACATATCCCACACTAGTCCTGTCTCATTAATATAACAAAGACAAACCATTCCCAAATGGGATTATAACCACAGGCATAGATGTTAAGATTCACAACACATATTTCGGGGGGACACAATTCAATCTGGTAGACGCGTAGTAACACGGTAATTCTCACACACCTCTCCTTTTTTCTGTTGAGAACAGATCGCCCCGGCCTTTTAAACATAGAGCACATTGAGAAAATGCAGGAGGGTATTGTGCACGTGCTCAAACTCCACTTGCAAAGCAACCACCCAGATGACAGCTTCCTATTCCCAAAACTGCTCCAAAAGATGGCAGACCTGCGGCAGCTCGTCACGGAGCACGCGCAGCTCATGCAGATCATCAAAAAGACGGAATCCGACGCGGCGCTGCACCCGCTGCTGCAAGAAATCTACAAGGACATGTACTGAGTGCTTGTGAATACATAAGGAAAACAAACTCTTCAAGGATATTTAATGTGACAGCACTACAAATGGGAAATCGGAGCCACACGACTTTGCACAAAGGCCCGCCACTTTCTCCTTAGGGCGTATACCCTAGCTAATTGGAATACTGTCTCACATTTCTTTCTTGTTTGAACCGGTCCCCCTAAGAGCGTGCAAAGCATTCAGATGCTGGTGATCACTGGCTAACAGTCAGGACTCGGAAAATTAAGAAGAATGGCGGTCAGCAGTCTGATTTCCAGGCACCTGACGTTCATCAATGCAGGCTTCTTTCTCCCCGTTAGTAATTGACTGTTTAATTCTTGGGTAACCTCGAAATATGTGGTCTGCCTTCCCTCTTGACTGTTGGGCTCCTTTGTAATTTTGGATACTAATCAGCACTTTTTAACTACTTTTATAATCTTATCAATCTAGATATGTCCAAAGGCTAGGTATTTAAAAAGCAGCAAAAATATTTATTTGGAAGACTTGTAATTCTGTTTCCTGACTTGCTGTTTTTTAATCATAGGATTTAGAATTTTAAAGATTTGATAAGCTATCAAAACGCAGCGGCGGTTGTGTTTTCCGTTCACTGTGTTCCTGGTGGAGGAGCCCTGGTGGTGCAGTGGTTAAGCGCTCAGCTGCTAACTGAAAGGTCAGCAGTTCGAACCCACCAGCCGCTCCGAGGGAGAAAAGATGTGGCAGTCTGCTTCCTTAAAGATTACAGCCTTGGACACCCCACAGGGCAGTTCTACTCTGTCCTGTGGAGTCACTATGAGTCACAATTGACTCCCTAACAATGGGTTTGGTTTTTTTTCTTTTTTTTTTTTTTGGTTTGTGTTCATGGTGGTACTGATATGTGGAAAAGCCTCTTTCCAGATTTGTGTAGAAAATCCCAGAACACTATTTCAAGACCCGCCGCCGCCCCCGGACTTGACAGACACCTCTTTGAAGCTAGCACCTGTGATAAGCGGGAACAGGAAAAACTCTGAATGTATGTTCGCCTCCCATCCTTTCCGCTCCGTCTCCTACCAAATCCAAACCAGTCGGCTCGGCTCTTTGTGGGCACCATAGTATTTTGGGGGTAAATCGACAAATTATTTGTAAATGTGTCAAGGCAGCTTCTTTTGTCTTTTCCTGTATTGCTTTTTTAAGTATGAAACTGTATTTTTTTTTTTTAACTCTCGGTGGTAGCAGATACTTCCTGGGGTGGAAGAGATGAGGCAACTCTGACTTCCCAGTGAGGGCGCGGGAGGGTGAACCGGCCTGGAGTACCAGAGGGCCAAGGACCGTGTCCTTCAGATGGTAGTTTTAATCAATCTCCAATTTCACAGCAGCCTGATTCTTTTTACAAAGATTTAGACAGAACTTCCTTTCAGACTCTACGTAAGGCAGTTTTCCCGTCTGTGATATGTGTTTGAGCCTTAAAGATCAACTTCTAAACCTCGGTCCAGCTGAAAGCGCAGCATCCTGGTGGTGATGTGTCTAGGAAAGATGGCCCTCGAAACACCAGTCTGTCCACATCTGCCCACCGCCACTGACAGTCGCACCTTCCAGGAATTCTCAACAGCAATACCTCAAGGCCAGACCCCGACTGAGCTGCCACTCTGCCTTCTTGGGCCACTGGGCACCTCGCTGACTTACACCCTTACGGCCTGGGTGTGCTCCTTGGTGCCCCTGCCCCTCCATCTTTAGAACATGTGGCTCATTTAAGATCATTATTATTTGCCATTGAGGAAGGATTGGGATTGATACTGATCAGCATTCTGAAAATGTGACAGGAGAAAAGACAGTATAACTGTGAGACTTCAACTAGAAAAAAGTGAGCATTTACCGTTAGGACAGCCTTTTAAAACTGGCACATTTCGTGGGTTTGTTTTTTTTTTAAAAAGATCCAGTCAAAAGTTCTGCTGGCCAGCAGGAAACAGTTTGCGCTACAGGTACTAGGAACTGGGAGCAAACAGAATTAATTCCGTACACGAAACCAATCAAGAGGTCACCCTCCTCCAGAAGAGAGCTAGCCGGTGAGAACCATGATATCCAGTAGGTCGTTTCCTGAAATGAGGACGCGGACTGCTGTGGAGACTCGGGGCGGTGGTGTGTCCAAGGTCGCTGGGTCGGAGCCTGGATTCAAACACCAAGTCCGCCTTCCCTCCACTGTCCATGGCGGTTTCTCACTCTGATGTGCCCTGGACAGACACCATCCAGACAGACATGGCCGGGACCGTGAACCTCGACAGCCAGCCTTCCAGATAAATAATTTGTCCTTTGAATTAAATAAAACTTAAATGTTCATAAAACCTACTTAAAATAGCTCCTGACTCTGGGCTTCCAGCAGTAGCCGTTGAGCTGACCAGAGGTGCAGGCTCTGCATTCGTCCACACGATGGTCAGCAGTGTTGCTGAGCCTCATGCCACCAGTGATGTCCCCGAGGAAGCCAGCAAGGAGACCCGAGTGACCTCACCTGGCACCATCCACCTGTAGCAATAGGAAGTAAAATCACATGTTCCCATTTATTTTAAATAACATAGTCACTGTCAACTCGCCGAATTATAGAATGTTTTGAGCCACCCAAACAAAGATTTCTTAATCTTCAGTAGTTACATGTAGGCTGATAATTCACTAGTTCAAAATAGGAACTATTACAAGAGTGCCTTCATTGCTCACTGGGTTTCAGCAGACTTCAGCATCGAGTGCCATGGAAATATGTCTGGCTTAGGATGTTTCAAACTACGTAGGTGAGACCCCCTTCTCCGGTGAGGAGGCTGGCTGTGACCTCTCTCTCTTTTCATGACTCTGGCCCGTTCTTGAACAAGGCTGTCTGCGTACACACTCCTGCCTCATGTCCCCTCTCAAGCCGCCATGACACCAGGCACATTGGACACTCAACCTGCGGGAGGCGCAAAGGAGGGTTGGAGACCCTTGTCTTGACACGGTGACCACGCCTGTCTTTCGAGTGTCTTTTTGCAACACTTGTTTTGAACTCAGAGGAGCCCTGGTAGCACAGCGGTTAAGTGCTTGGCTGCTAACCGAAGGGTTGGTGGTTTTAACCCACCAGTCGCTCTGCAGGAGAAAGATGTGGAGTCTGCTTCTGTGAAGGTTACCGTCTCGGAAACCCAGTAGGGCAGTCCTTCTCTGTAGGGTCACTATGAGTCGGAACCGACTCCAGGGCAACCGGTGCAGGTTTTGAACTCACCCAGAGAGTCCAGTACTTCCGGCTGCAGCTGGCCTGGCCTGCAGGCCTCCCCCTTCTCTGGCCTAAATGGCTGTTCAACCTGTGTGGGCCTTGAAAACGCACACCCCACCAGGAGAGACATGCCAGGCCTCTAACCAGCTCCCGCCATGGCTCTGCACAGCTTTCAGAGCAGGCTTTTGTCTCCTCTGGTCCTCAGCCCCGTGGAGAGATCAGAACGGACTCGTGCCCCATTTATAGTGGAAACATCCAGCCTCAGAGTTAAAGGCCATCTTGGTGCGGGGCTTCGGACTCCATGGGTCGTGCTGTCTCCCGTTCTTAGCGATCATTTACGCCTTGGGGTGAGCATGACGCCTGGCTCCTGCTGGGGAGGAGGGTGGATGATGGACAATGGAGAGGCTGCGCCAGTGAGGGCTGGCCTGCCCTCTGCAGGCTTCCTTTCTTTTTACGTCCAGACCAGCGGCATAGATTCAGGTTGAGACCAGGAGATTCTACACTGTCCATAGAGATTCAGGGGAGGCCAGGAGACTATACTGTCCATAGAGATTCAGGGGAGGCCAGGAGACTATACTGTCCATGGAAATCACAGCTCAAGATTGCTGTCACCAATGGAGACCTTGCTGATGTTAAAGTGTCCACAGAAGACTTCCTCATGCACCCAGTTCTCACCACCTTGGCTCTGCAAAGCATTGGGAAGCTCCACAGCCTGACTTTATGTGCTTATTCTTTTCATTTTAAAAGTGGCCTGGCATTTTTTGGACACGCTGATCAGCATGGCTGCACTGTAATTAATGATTCTTACTGTCTTAGTCATCTAGTGCTGCTATAACAGAAATACCGCAAGTGGATGGTTTTAATGAAGAGAAATTTATTTCCTTATAGTAAAGTAGGCTAAAAGTCCAAATTCAGGGTGTCAGCTCCAGGGGAAGGCTTTCTCTCTCTCGGCCTTCTCGTCAGTGTTCCCCCGGACTAGGAGCTTCTTGGCACAGGGACCCCGGTCCAATCTCAAGAGATTGCCTCAGGACACAATCCAGTCTTGTAGATCAGGTCCTGCCTTACTAACACAACTGCCACCCATCCTCCCTCATTAACATCATAGAGGCAGGTTTACAGCATACAGGAAAATCGCACAGTACCAGGAATCATGGCCTAGCCAAATTGATAACACACATTTTTGGGGGGGACATAATTCAAACCACGACACTTACCAACCAGATCTCTGTTTTTAGTGACGGTGACTCGATCATCCTGACAAAGGTGGTAGTGAGGGCGAGTCGCCGAGCCCACCTCAGATGCCACAGGCGGAAGTGAGAGAGCGGAAGGGGTCTGGGAAGCGCTCAGCTGTCCTGTAGCTCTGAGGAGCAAAGGGATTGTGCTGACAGCGCCTCATTAACCCGCGAATTCTTTTATGCCGTTGACTAATCAAGTGGCTTTCCTCTCCCTGATCCCATGGACTTCACCAAGGCCGTGTACTTCACTGACAGACGTTCTGTCCAGAAATCTCTAAGCTTCGATCTAGGTTTTAGGTCGAGGTATGGTCTTTTCCTGGGGTGGGTATGTTTCTGGCTGCCAGTTTAGCAGAATTCAGGAAAATGGCCATCATCCCCCACTTGGATCTGACACAGAATATATGAAATCCGTTGCATTTCTTTGGAAACCACAATACAAGCTAAATGTGAACTTGGACGTGTGTAAGAGAATAAGTCCTCACGGATTAGTTCAGATAATGACATAATTATTTCCATTATCTATTTTTGTGGAATGCAGCAGGTTCTGAACTCCAGTGGAGTGGGCTGCAGGCTTATCAGAAACAAGCCATTCGTGTGGCCGTGCTTATTCAGAGAACGGAGACCAGCTCCAGGCACCTCTGGAAGCCACCTCAGGTCTGGAGTAGGACTGTCAGCTAACTGTCTGCTTCTCAGAATTGCAGTTTGAGACATGAGAAATATAAATTATCTACTCCCCACTCCCCCAAGAACCTTTTTATGTGAGGGAAGAGAAGCTATGTGATCTGGTTCCGCTGAAATATATACAACCATGTCCTTTGCCAAACAACAGACCACGCCCATATTCAAGGCCAGGTCTTGGTTGAAACATCTGGTAACATCAAGTACCTCAGTGGCCCCCATGGCTGTTAAAATTTATTATTTGCAAAAAATAAGAAACATCGGTTTTCACATCGTAGACAGCAAATTAAGGCCTAGGTCAGCTTGCTTATTTTAAAAATGTGTGCTAGTTTGGTTCCAATGTGAAGAACATCCATGTTTTTCTTCACAGGCGGGAGTATACCAGCCTCATCCTCTCTTGCCTGTCTTTGTCCTCCAGCCAGCATCTAAAATTTGTTGGTACAGCGGATCAATACGGCATCATGCAAGCCAGTCTTCTCAAACAAGCCCCCACACCATGAGCCTGCCTCCTCATGAGAGCACAGAATCAGGGTGCAGGGGCCACCCCATTTCCTAGACCCTCCAGGGCACCTTTGGGGGGCCTCAGACCTCAACTCTGCTCCCTCAAGACAGAGAGGGTCAGGCTCAGGCCCTCCAAACTATTGAGCGACTGATCTTTCCAAGGGCAAACCACCCATTCACTTTTTGAAAAGGTCTTTTTTAGATAATCTGTTCCTTTTTCAGACCTTAAAAAAAAAGTACCTCAAAAAAGATGAATACCACTTATTACCCTTTCTGGTAAGACTGCAGTATTCGTGTTGCATATCACGTTTTTTCTACACTGTACATTTAAAAGAACTGTTAATAGCTATATCTCAAATGCTGTGATTTGTTTTTAAACAACATCCTAATATATTTTACTAATTTGCAATCGTGCGTCTTTTGAAATCAGTGTTAATTGATGATGGTATATTCTTAAAAGCCTGGTTCTTGGACCTATTGGGAACACAAAGGAAGCTGAAATCTAACTACACACACGTACACACACACATCAAAACTTTTAATTTCTCCTGAGCCACACAGAATTCGTGCTTGCTGTGTAAATCCATCCCCTTTGCCACACTTCATAAAGCACCAGTGATTCTTAATGTGTTCATTCCCACCAGCAAGGCATTCTCAGACGCCAGGTGCAAGAGAGGACGTGGATTTTGTACAAGTGTTTCGCTTAAGACCATCAACTATTCCTACTTCATCAGGAGCTGTCTGCTCCTCAGGTGATCACTGCCTGTGGGTTATTACCAGAGAACTCTGGCAATCGAACAGGCTGTTGGAAATCACTGCACCAGTGTTTTCTCTGCTGGCATCTCACAGCCCGCCTGAAGCACAAGACAGAAACCACAGGCATCCGTGTTTTTTTTTGTAATATCGTGGTGAAGCTGCTTCTTGGTGTGCATTTGTACTGCCCTGACTCCACACTGCCATCATGCTAAAACCCCACAGCCAGGGGGGCCTGCCGGGACCCACAGAGGAAGGGGGCACATTCCCGAAGCAAGGACTAGACTCGCTTTCTTGACCTGCATTCATCATCGCCATTGTTGGGTGCCTTGTACTCTCATTAAAGCACTTGGCTTTTACCGCTAAACAGGGGCCGTTCCAAAGGAGACGCTGTTGCCCATGCCTCGGCGTCCTCTCTGCAGACTCTGGGTATGGGTAGGTGTCCAGGACCTCAGGAAACACATGCGCGTAGAAGGGCGATCCAATAGTTCTAGTCACGTTAACTGACCGGGTGGTTCCAGGCTACTAGAATATATCACTTTAATTCTTTTTAAATCTCGGGTCTTACTCCTTTTCCTGTGAAGAGATTGAACTGATCGTGTGTATTGATCTGTAGCCTGAATGTATGGGACTTCCGTGTCCGGAATGTCCTCTTTGAAGACTGACGAATGAGAAAGGTTAATTTCAGGGCACAGTTTTGCCTTAATGGTTTTACAAAATAAACTATTTTTTAAAATTATTTGGTGAGCTTTGAGTGATGCTGTATGAATGAATTCGTTTGGAAAAAACGAATCCCCTGCTGTCCACTCCGCCCAGAACATCCCACCTCAGCCGCCCTCACCTGCACATGGATTACCTTTTTGTCCTTAAGTGTGGGAACGGACCTGGGATAATGTGGCCCCAAGTGACCTACTGGTCCAAAGAAATCAGAAACGGGAAACTGGAAAGCATAGGCATTTTAAAACAAAATCCAGCCCACCGCTCACTCAGTGTAAGTTCTTCCTTCTTTCGCCAACCCCGTTTCCGACACTTCCCAGGCCCTGTAAGTCGGCCATCCATTGTGACAAAAGATGACGCAGTCCCTGCTCCTCATCTAGCTGGGTCTGCTAGGTAAACCCACAGGGAATTATGATGCCAATTGGAACCCCGTAGGTGATGGGGGGGGCGGGCCGCCGGGTGGGGTGCCACAGGAAAACAGGCCGTGGGGTTAGGGACTACAGGGAGGTCCATAGGGACAGGACCCCAGAACATCCCAGTAGGCCGTGGGGCTGGACTTCACAGGCACCAAGGGCCGAGTCAACATGGAGAGCGCGTGGGCAGCAACACAGAGGTTCTGAGGTGAGGGTGAGCAGAGGGAGCCCCAGGCAGATCTGACTTGGGAGTAGGGGCAAGGGAACGGAGTTGGGATTGGAGCTGGAGCCAAAGCCTGGGACGGGAGAAAAAGCTAGAAGCCGGCAGTCCGCTTCCCACAAGACCTGTCCACTGCCAGACCCAGCACGCGGTGGAGAACCGTGGGTCTTGCGATGTTTCCAAAAACGGACTGCTTCTTTGGTATTTTAATCATAAATACAATACATATTCAAGATTAATAGCATTTTCCAGGCAGTCCACAAGAACGTGAAGTAAAAATTCCACCCGTCTACCCTCCCAGTCTCACTCTGGAGGTAGCCGCTGTCAGATGTCCTTAAAGGGAGAGCATCACCGGCTCGGCCATCTCTCCCCACCAGCGCCCACGGGCTCCCTCTTGGTGAGCCATCCGCATCTTTGCTCCGACTATCGGTCGCCTCCCGCCCAGGACCACTCGAGGTCTCCCGCACCAGACCGTGAGCAGGGGCCTCTGTCTCCCCACGGCTGCGTCCTCCAGCCAGCACAGCAAGGGCAGCAGAGGCGGGGACCCCGTATTTGAGGGGTGAACATGAAGCGAGCAAAGCACCTCCAGGCCCATGTGTGGGTCAGCAGATAAGCCGGAGGGCCTGGAAGCAAGGCCTCGACCCCCAGCCCCAGGCAGAGGGAGGACCAGCAGGCCGGCCTGGGCTTCCCTTTCTGGGCAGCTGCTGTCCCATGGTCTCTGGGCCCGAGGGCCAGCCACACCCAGCGCTCCAGGGTCCTCGGCACTAGAGGAGCCCTGCAGTGCCTGGGCCGGGCTGGCGAGGTGTTTGTCCTGCGTCTGCCCGTTGCTGCTGCAGGCTGGCCTGCTCAGCTCCCCCGGCTGTAGACACAACCCAGGAATGAAGCCAGGCACCACGGCCTCCAGCTCAGTAGCATCCTGGCCCGGGCCGCAGCTGTCCCCCAAAGCTCCGTGCAGGGGCTGCCCACTTGGCCCCTGGCTGCCCTCAGGTCCGAGAACTGGGCTTGCCGCAGGGCGTCCTGGCCAGAGCTTTCCTCTTGTCCACATCTTGCCGGATTTCCTGTGGGAAAGCATCGATGTTCTCCCAGACACAAGGGAGGCAAAATCTCTTGGTGTAGAATAAACTGCATTCCTGAAGAGGAAGGAGGACGGAAGGGTGCTGAGTATCCTGGGACCGGGAGCAGCTTCTCCCAGAGGCCAGGCCCCCCAGGATGCAGAAACAGAGGCGGCAGGGAGTACACGGCCTGGCAGGCCGCCTGGAGGAGCTTCATCTTTGCCGAGAAGAGGAAGTTGGTGAAAGACTGCAAGTGGGGATGGGGTGGGGGTGAGAAGTAGGGGTGACAGACAGACGGCGTACAGGGAGACTAGGAGGGGGCACGTGGAGACAGGGAGGCTAGACGGTGGGGTAATACAGGCCAGAACTGGCAAGGACCGAGCCAAGGTCACGGCCGAGCCAGTGTGGGCAGGGCCCAGTGGGCGGGTGTGGTAGGACTGGGCAGTCTGCCTGGCCGGGGGCCTGCTGAGGAGGAGGGTGTGAGAGGCTCGGCTGGGGCCTGTGCACACCTAAGGAGAGGGTGCTAGCTGTGAGCTGGCTCGCGGGGGGGCAGGATCCCAGCGGGGCGAGGGACGGCGGGAGGCAGACTCTCAGCACCACCTCGACGGCCCAGTAAACACACCCAAGAAGCCACCACCCGCTGCTGCTGCTGCTGGAGGCTGAGCTGTGTAAAGGCTGCTGGGAGCACAGCTTTCCTAAAGGGGCATGCGGCCCCATCACGGGGGCGACTGCCAACAAAGGGAGCTGTTACTTAGGCCCCGCGAAAGAGTTAGAAGCTGGAGATCCCTGCATCTCCTGATGACCACGGCAGGGTCCACAGGGACAGCCCCACAGCCCACAGGACACCATGGACCAGCAGACATGTCCAACCGGGTCCTGTAATAGTGGACCCCTGAGCCCCAACTTGGCACACGGCCCCAGCTCAGGACATTCCCTAGCCCCCTTTGCGCCTGGCTGACTTCGTCCTGGCCGGGGGGCAGGGTGTCATCGGAAGCTATGCGTATCACTTCCTAGTCACCCCTTCTAAAGAATGGGCATGAGCTCCCCCGCCCCTTCCCGCTGGCTGGGAGTCGGGACAGTCAGTGGACCCAAAGTGGATGACCCCACCCAGCCCTGGACCGCCTGCTTCTGGACTCTTATGCAGAAGAAAAGGAAATAAATGCACGTTTCTCTTACTGAGGCCACTGTGTTTTGGGGGTCTCTTACAACAGCTTAGAATGCACCTCGGCTGATACAAGGTCGCACCTCCTTCACTTCTTGGAAGGGAACCCTCCCATGGGACGGGCTGGGTAGAGGAAGCTGGAGATCTGAGAGCTGCGTGGGTACCTCCCCCAGTGCCAAGGGGTGGCGTTCTGGGCCCTGTGCCACCTGGCCCCACCCCGCCTGCCCCGTCTCTCTTCCTCCCCAGGTGCTCCGTGCTCCTCAGGTACTCTGGATGCCGCCTCTGCCCACGCTGTGGCTTCCCCCCACTCAGCCCCAGCCTGACCTCTGAGGACAGAGTCTGACTTTGACATGTGGTCCGTGACTCAGCTCCCCTTGTTGGCCCTGTACCCCCAGGGCAGAAGGCTCCTCCCTCCCCAGAGTCACCCATGCCATGCTCCTCCGCTAGCCTGCTGCGCCTCCTCCCAGCTGTGGGTTTTCAAACAATAGGCTCAGCTAACCCGGTGAACTTGGCCCGCTCAGCCTCTCTGAACCTGTTTCCTCATCTCTAAAATGGGTACAGTGCTGCTCCCCCTGACTAGGTTTGGGGAAGGACTGAGGAAGCCTCACCCAGCACACAACAAAGGCTCAAGGAAAGAGATGTCCTTCCTCTGGGAGGTCCCTCCAAGAGCGACGAGACACAGTCCCACCCAGCGTGGAGAGGGCACAGGCGTGTGCATTACTGGTAAGAGGGGCCTCCAAGAATCCATTTCCCAGCATTCCTCAGGCCATGCCGAGACCCCCTGACTCTAGGCTGCCCCTGCCCCCTCTGGGCTGCTGGGCCTATCTATAACGGGGTGGGCCAGCTGGCCCCTCAGAGCCCTGGCCACCCTCCCCACCTGGTGACTGGGGGGCTCCGAGGATGACCATAGGGAGGAAAGGCCAATGCTCACGCCACCCTTGGCAAGTCTCTGGTCCCTGGGCCACGTATCCTCTCCCACAGCCACGTTGTGGGGGGAGGGTCCCAGCCCCGGGTGCTAACTCACCGGGCCCACGCACACCAGCCTGCTGCACACGCTGCATCGTGAGCCAAGGACCAGGAACTTGTCCCTGTCTGCGGTGAAGGGGTCCTTCAGGACGTAGCTCTCCTCCAGGAGGCTGCAGGCAAGGATGACGGCTGTCACAACGGCCTGGACGCGTGCTCGCTGGAGTGGGGGCTGGCCCACCCAGGCCACAGCATAACATAATAACAGGAAGCCCAAGAATCGGGGCCATGGCGGAAGGCCTCAAGGGCTGGCACACCATGATTCCCCAGACCCCAGCCTGTTCACTGGGGAGGGGTAGGGAGAACGGGGCTCCCTCCAGGATTCTCCAGGATTCCCCAGCCCTCCCCTGCACCCCTAGCAGACGGCACCTCCTCCCAAGCTGCCTGCTTCCACCCAGGGGGAGCCAGGGCCTCTATCCACCCCAACAGCCTGGGAGGCAGGCCTGGCCTCACACTGCACATCAGATGAGACCGACAGGGTCATGTGACAACACCCCAGGTTCCTGCTCAGCAGAGGAACCTGCCTGAACAAAGGAGCCTTGTCCCTGTCACTGTGTCCCCCGTTAAGTAATGCATCAGTCAGCTTCCCCCCACAACGATGTCCAGAAACTGGCCCAGGACCCACTGGGCTCGGGGCAGACTCTTGGGAGCCCGGGGCCTCACGACACACTCCCTCCAGCGAACGCTGCAGCTGCTGCAGGAAGTCGGTCTCCGCGCTGAGAGCATCTAGACAGGAACCAGCAGGAGCAAGGGCACAGCCTCAAACGAGATGGCCACCAAGGGCCCCTTCGTTCTCAGCTGGCGGGCTGTTTCAGCCTGGGCCGTGCAGTGGGTGCTCAACTCCGGACTCGAGGGGGAGGGATCTGGAGATTCTGCAAGAGCTCAGGACACATCTGCAGGGCCTGGGCAGGGACAAGCCTACAACATACCACGTGGCAGCTGCAGGCCTGGCGGCCGGCCCAGCCAGTGGCTCAGGACAGGCACTTCCGGGCCACAGGCCCAGAAAGTACGTACTCACACGACAGAGCGGGTGTTGGGGGGCTTCTGCCCCACGTAGCTGTATGGAGCTGACAGAGCACAGAGCTGGCACTCAAACACGCCCTGGGGACGGCGCTCTGCCTCAGATGCCATCTGCAAGATGGAGAGACAGGGCCGTGAAGATTTTCTCTTTATGGTTTTCAGCAGTGTGAACAGACACTTAAGTTTTGGGGTTTGTTTGTTTTTATCCTGCTGTGCTTCTTTGAGCAAAGTCTTTGATCTGGGGTTTGATTTCTATTTTATTTAGAAAATCTTTGGTCATTATCACTTCAAATACTTCTGCTCCCTTCTCTCTCTTCTGGGATTCCAACTGCAAATACAGTGAAACCTGTGAGAGCCGGAACTCAACGGGACTGCCTTGTTCTCCTGGGTCTCGCAAGTCTTCCGCCTTTGACAGGGTGCAGTCTTAAACCACTTTTCTATTGCCCTCTATTAGTGGAAAATATTCGCTTTCTCCTTCTCTGCCAGCTTTCCGCCTTACACAGGTTCTGGCTTTTCCAGGTTTTACTGTATTTGATGTTGCCCATTCGCTAGTGTCCCAAGTCCGTGAACGCTCTGGTCTGCTTTGCGTCCACTCCTTTTCTCTTGTTTGTTGTTGTCAGTACTATTGATTCAGTTCCGACTCAGAGACCCTGTATACACTGCCCGGTCCTGCGCCATCCTCACAACAGTTGTTAGATGCTCGAGCTCATTATTGCAGCCACTGTGTCAATCCACCTCCTTCAGGGTCTTTCTCTTTTTCACTGAGCCTCCACTTTTTTTGTTTACCCAGATGGAATTACCTAATTTCTACTGAATTAGCTTCAAGGTTTTTTTTTCTCCTCAGCTACGTCACATCAACTGATATACCCTTTGAAGGCATTCTTCATCTGTTATGTTTATTTCTTGCATTTCCATCTGTTTCCTTGTCTGCTGAAATTCCCCCATCTGTTTACGCATGTCATATACCTTTTCACTACAGCCTTTAAACTACTAATTATGTCTGTTTTAAATTCTGTCTCATCATTCTAATATCTGGGTCCCATCTAATTCTGTTCATTGCTTTGAGTCTTGACACTGAGTTTATTTTTGTCTCACTTTTGGTTGAAACCTGGACGTTTGTAAGACAGCAAAGACCAAGGTAAGTAGTATTTATGCCTGAAAATGGGCATCCTTTTTTTTTTCCTGCTAGGCCTTAGCATGGAATATTGAGTCAACCTAGCAAGGAGCTGAGGTGGGTTTGGATTTTTGTGGCTGCCATTGTTCTCCTCAGGGCATCACTGGCTTGAAATCTCTCTTGCATTACCTTGACCTTGGGGTTGGGATTCATTCTCTCCCTGTGTACTCCACCCTCAGCTTTAGGCCTTTCTTTGCCTGTGCCTCAAACAGGGTCTCTCTTGATCCTCCCCAGTGGTAGACTGCAGTTGCTCCCCTGGTGGTGGTGGGTTTCTGTGGTCCTGACACAGCTTCAGTCTGAGACTGGCCCTTGGTGACTGAGTGTTGGGATGAAGTTTTCTCAGGAATCTTGCACCTTCCCCAGTAGTCGGTGACCTCTAGCAATCTGTTCCCAGGACAATTCCCTGGCCCTCCCCGGGGTAGAGGGTGTTTCTCCTTTCTTCTGTCCCTACCTGTAATCAATAGGTCTTCACCTATGCCCAGTGGGTGACACAGTTTGCTGTCCATCCCCCAGTGGTTTAAGGCTTTTGTTCCATAAGGGAGAACGACCCAGGCAGGCGAGAAAGATCCAGGAAGGATCCAACCAGAGCAGCAGCCATCCTCCTCCTCCAGGCCTGCACCAATGGGATTTCTCCAATCTCCTGCCCTGCCCCAGTCTTTCCCAGGAGTATCCAGTGAAGGTTTGTGGAGAAAAGCCTGCAAGTGGGTGCAAGCTCCCGTGTCTGTGGCTCTCAGAGTTTCTATACTCTCACACTAGCCCATACTCACTATACAGCATTTCCTTAAAAAAATTTAGCCAAATTTTTATCTGCTTGTGTGGAGCCCTTTCCCATGCTGTCTCGGAGGTACCTGTCTTTCCGTAGATTTCTAGCTAACTGGTTGCCTTGTTAAGGAGATCTGGTGGTGCAGTGGTTGAGTGCCTGGCAGCAAACCAACCTGAACCCAACCAGACACTCCACTCCGTGGGAGAACCTGCAAAGCTTACAGCCTTGGAAACCCTATGGGGCAGTTCTACTGTGTCCTTTAGGGTCACTATGAGTCAGAATCCACTCCATGGCAACAGATTTGGTTTTCTGGGTCGCCCTATAACCTCAGCTATCTAATGGATTCAAGTGATTATCTTTTAGACTGGCCACCTTTTTCTTTGCCTAATATACCATGGACTGTCAGAAGAATGAACAAACCTGTCGTGGAAGAAGTACAGCCAGAATGCTCCTCAGAAGCAAGGATGGCAAGACTCTGGACTTTGGACTTGTTATCAGGAGGGACCAGCCCCTGCAGAAAGACATTATGCTTAGTAGAGGGTCAGAGAAAAGGAGGAAGACCCTCAACGAGATGGACTGACGCAGTGGCTCCAACAAGGGGCTCAAGCATAACAATTGTGAGGATGGCGCAGGAGCCGGCAGTGTTTCATTCTGTTGTATACAGGGTCGCTATATGAGTCCAGACCAACTCGACGGCACCTCACAACAACAAATGGAATTTCTAATCATCTTTCAAAGTCCTAATCAGCTGGTCCCTAACTCTCCACCGTGACCGCTCTGCTCTTCTGAATCTGAGTGTGATGGATGTTACCCGGTATGAGCTTTGGAGTTTGACAAACCGACGTGCAAACATTGGAAGCACAGATTACGGAATGCCATGTCATCCCACCTGGACTAAAAAGAACAAAATTCTAATTTACTGTGGATGTGTGCGAACCTAATTCCATCCCGCATCTGCACACTGGAGCTACCCAGGTCCTTCTCAAAGTGGCCTGGCGTTTTCGGAGGCAGGCAGGTTCCGGGCGTTCGTCGACAGTGGCGGCCTTCTGCACTCGTGTTCCCTCACCTGGAGCCCACTCCCCTCCCGCCCGCGCCCGGAAGCTCCAGAGAGCCCGCCATCCGCGACGCAGCCTCCCCGCATCCCCGTCCCTCCCACACCCCCGCGAGCAGCCGCTCCGACCACTAAGCCTCAACCCCTGACGTTCAGGGTCCCATCACGCCCACTAAGGAGCTGAGGCCCGGACCGGGAAGCTGGAGGCGCTGGGACAGACCGTGGGAGACGCGAAGGCCTCCGCGGCCACGCACACTCACCTGCACGCGCGACTCCGCGCCTCACGGCGTGTGCGCGCCACCACCCGCCGGCTCCGCCCTCTGACGGCTGAGCCCCGAGTGCACGCACAGCCCGGCGAGGGGCGGAGTTTTCGTCACCGGCCCCGACTCGCTGAGGAACCGGGCCCCGAGCGCACGCGCGGAATAGAGCTGGGCGGAACCTCGTCGCTGAATCCGCCCCTTGCGGACCAGGCCTCGGGCGCACGCGCGGAGCAGGGCGCGGCTTCATCCCCGGCTCCGCCCCCTGTCGTCCTTTCCGCCTTTGCGGGGCTCAGCGCGGTGTCTGCCGGGAAAGCCGAGCGCAGAGCTGAGGTCTCGGCCGGGGGCCGGAGTCCGGGCCGAAGGAAGACGGCGTCCGAGCTGCTCCTGCGCGAGCACCTGGACTTGGCCTCCTGTTTTGGCCCTTTTGAGGCTCACTTCCTTTCCCACGGGGTTCCTCAGAATGGAGGTTGCTAGCGCGAGGCCTCTGGAGAAGCGAGGGGCGCTGGCCGGACAGCATCTCCGCCCCGCGCGTCTCGCCGAGAGCGCGCCTCCGGAGCTGAAGTTAGCTCGCCTGCTGCCGCTCTCCCCCGTAACAACGTGAGCCCGGCGAGGCGTGACTAGCCAGCCACTGGCTTTGAGGAGGACGCCCTCCGCCTTGGCCTGCGTCTGGCTTCGGCCAGGACAAAGGAATAATTTGCCCCACGTTTGCTCTTTTTCTCAGCCTGAAGGCCAGTGGTGAAGAGGCTGTGCCTAAGGAAGCTGCGCTCCAGTCAGAACGTGAGGGGCCAGGGTGGGCTGGCCTCCCCAGGGACCTCCCCCCGACCCCCACCAGGGGAGCTGGAAAATCCAACTCTGACATCCTGACCCTCGCTAACACAGAGTGGCCCTGGGCGAGTCACTGAGCCAAGTGGTTTTCTCTGCCGGCAGAGAAGCCCTGTCTCCCTGCCCCAGCTTCTCCGGCATCCCCTCGGGAGGAAAGGATGGACTGTGTGCAGATGCTGGCAGAGCATAGTGTCATAATGCCAACATGGTGCAGTGCAGGATTCTGAGGGGCGAACGTTGAATAGCGAACCCTGGTGAGAAGCGGCTGCCGGCCTGATGCGGCCGTCCCCTTTCTGGCCCTAGACTTTGAGGGCATGAGCCGCTTGTATATATGGCCCCCACTCAGGAATCACTGCAAGTCTCACAGAAGAAACCTCACATTTAATGCTGATCAGGCTTAACGTTGTATGGACAGAAATGACCACGCTTCTGAGTGACAGTATAGCAGCTGGTACCCCATGTTGCTCTTAAACGATAAACTACATTTTCATTATCATTCCTAAATAATGTCATAAATAACCAAGGGCTCAAATCTTGAATATATCTATAGCTACAGTCAACGTATGTAACATGTCAGTGTGAACCCACACATAACTCCTTTTTGTTTGACAAAAGTATGTCTCTTGGTCAGAAAATGTTAAGATTTACATCTTTAATTTGTAGTAGCCTTGAGTGGATGGGAGGCTTCAGACTTCTAACCCCCAGCTCCCATGCCCAAGCAAGAGGGTAAATACTGGGAAGTGCCCATAGACCCCTCCAGTCCTGGGCCAGCTGGAATAGTGGGGAGGGGAGAGGAGACTCAACAGCCCTGGTCCACAAAGGAAACTCCAAGCAAGGCTGAAGAGTCTGAGGCTCAGTGGTGAAGCGGTAGGCACATGGATTCCAGCCTGGGCTGAGCATAGAAGCAGCAGGAGAATGCTGTGCCAGGTGGGGAGTCTTCAACCCCCTCCCCCAAATCTGGCTCTCAAAACTAGTGGCTGTAATCCCTCTAAACTGCTGCAGGCTCCAAAGAAATAAGGGTTGCCTCTGTACCAGGAGTTATGCAATTCCCTGATAAAGGGAATTCAATCCCAAAATCGAATGCTCTGATCCTCCTTTCCCCTAGACACTACATGACATTCCAACACACTTCCACATTCCCGAGAACAGAGGCCAAGAGTGGGGATACTGTGAAATGTAGGAGGTGTGCATTGTGAAGGACATGGGTAGAAAGCACAACCTGGCCATTAAACATGCCTTCATCCCACAAACTGAGCATTGGGGGGAAATCTTCCTTGTGGCTCTTGAAATTGTCACTGATCAAACAACGAGGTAAACCATTTTCTTCCCATTAATGTTTCTGGTCTTCAGCCCCAGATACCGGCAGTTGTTCTTCTCTGGCTGTCCATACAGCATGTCAGTGACAAACTCAGGTTCATCTTTGGCCCTGGATTGGAAGGTCAAAAAGCGAAACACCATCCTTAGCTGACGAAACAAATATGTCATTGCTTCTGCTTCATCTGATGGCTCCTCATACACGGGCTGCTTCATCTCCTCATAGGCAGACAGAATCACTGCCTGGAACAAGTTGATCAAGATGCAGATCATGATCAGCATAAAAGATGAGAGGAATAGGACCCCAAGAACTCTATTACTGGAAAATTCAGTGTTCTGAAAAGCTGAGACGCAATAAGAGAATACTGTCTGTGTGGCATGAATCAAGTTACTGTAGTTCCATTCGTGCTGGCCAAATACCAGGTAGCCAAAAGCCATGTATACAAAGAAATAAACGGACACCACAAAGGCCATGTGGCAGATGCCAGGAAGAGCAATTTGGATGGCCCTCTGAGCCAGTCGCACATCATAGAAGACTCTGGAATACCGAAGGGTTTTCAAAATTGTCAGAAAGAACAGGAAACCCAAAGTTGTCCTCATGAGGTGATCTACTTGAGAAACGGCATGAAATGGAATGAAATCCTTAGGGTTTGACAAGTAAAACTGAATGATGTCAGTGGTCAAGAGGTGTTTCCTGAAAAAGAGCACAATCAGAACAGTAAATATGCATTTTAAAGCAAAGTTGAGTAAATTATACACACTTCTCACATAGGATGCTCTTTCTTGCATAATGATATAGCCTTCATCAACAGTATAGGCTAAAAAAAAAATGAGAATGGCCAGGTACAAGTAGATTTCTGCTGATGTGTTCCTGTTGAAGTCAGAAAGTGAAAAAGAGTGCACAGACGCACTTGAGTTTACAACTCCTAACTGAGAAACCTCAAATATGACGGAAATGCTACAGAACAGATTCGCATCTGGATTAAAAGTCGTAAGTTCCAAAATCACAGCCCATGTCTTCTCATCAAGCCAATTACTTCCTTGAAGTTCCCTGAGCCTCAGTGTGGAATTAAACTGCTGCTGTTCTGGAAAAAAATAGAATACATATCCTCCTGATCCATAGGTATGTAACAGCCCATAGGAATAATATGCCCATTTCTTTTCCGGTGGCTTATAGGTAAACCCATTGGGACTCTTGCTGATAGCCTGATTATCAACATCATTCCAAAAGCTGGAATAGTTATTTGTGTCTTCTGGGTTGATGCCGTACTTGGAATGACAATTAATTTCCCTCTTAATGCTACTTAGGACGAGGTTTTTGTCAGGCAGACACTTTTTTTTGCTCGGTTTTGCTCGTACTTGCCGCATCAGTGGAAGGCCAAGGATTTTCGATGAGCTCTCAAAAAGAAACGTTGGCCTCAGGTCGTTGTGGAACAAAGGCACCACCACCTTGTTCAGCCACCTATAGATGTGTTCCAGCTTAGTGACCGTGGCAAGGTCCACAGAGAAACAATCCTGAATAAACTCGTTATAGTAAAAGCTGTCGGTGTGGTGCAGGAGTGCATTGAGGCCAAGCAGAAGGGCTAGAAAGATAAAGTGCGTTAGAATGTAACTAAGGAAGAGCAATGCTCTTCTCTTTATCCTCTTCTTCCTTTTGAATATTCTAATTTCATCCTCCGTGAGGGGCTGGTACATCCTGGTACCTCGGATGTGGTTGATACGGAGATGCTGCTTGTGCCTTTTAGCCGGATCCTTCCTCAGCCCGTGAACCCTGATCTCCGTGTAACGATATTCGATTGTCCACGGAAGGTTTTTACAGTACTTCGGCTGATTTGTTCTAAAACCTGACAAGAGTATAATTTTAGATGTCTGCACCAGAAAAACTGACTGAAAGAATGAACAAAAAGATGTGAAGAGCCATCGCATCGACAGGTCATAGCCGTAAGTCAGTCCATAAAATACAATGAAGAAGGACGACAGGCTACAAATGGCCAAAACCAAGACCCATGCTACATAAACGCACCCCCAAGGCAGAAGAAGCTCGGCCGCAGGTTTTTGTTGGGAAGGGGGCTCTTCAGAAAGAACATCTTGATTGTCTTCTATGTCGTCATTGTCGTTATTGTTGTAATTTGTACTTCTGCTGTGGGTCTGTGGGGCCTTAATCTCTGCTTCCTCAAGCTGGCTCTGGGTTTTGATAGCAGTCTGTCTAGAAGCCTTAGAAAATTCCGGATTGCCCCTAGATGTGAGCTTTTCGGCCTCCCTGGTCTGTGCCTTAGTGGTTTCACAAGCATACAACTTTGCCAAACGCTCGTCCCAGAATCCACTTTCTTCTGACATCAGAGGATGATGCTTTGGAGGAGATGCCTCCTCTAGATTCATTTCAGTAGGTTTCCTCTGGGAATAGGTGAACAAAAAAATTAACAATAATTGCACAGGGACTGTAATTAAAGCACTTTCAATTCCTGTCATCATTAATCTGATGTAGGATAACCTTCTTGATGCAGTTTCTTGTCTACTGGCATTAAGGAACATAGTATTACAAAGAAGAAAGCTCAACAGCACTGCTAAACAACACGACAATTTTTGTAGCCTATTAACTGGTTTTGCAATGACACCAGCAAAAACAGAGAACCACATGTGACTTTTCCCTAGTTCATAAGTCGTATTTATAAGGAAAAAGTCCTTTCTGTTTAAAGGCTCATCTGAATGGGTAACATGAAATTTTCTGTCCAAAGAGGTGTCAACAGAAAGCCATTTCCGGCACATGAACAGCCAAATGCATCTGGTGAACAGATTTTCCACTTTGATTCGACTTAAATACCAACTGGGCTTTTTGCCCTTATTGTTGTGCCACACACGAATGGAGCGGATGTCCCCCAAGTCACTTTTTGTCGTTAGAAGGAAAGTATTGCTGCTTCCTCGGTAGAGAGCTGTATAATATGGATGGCTCAAACAATGCACATCACTGGTACTCTCTGTTCCCATAAGCTGGACAAAGACATCGGCTCTGGTTCCAGACCCCCAACGGCTTCCTGTAAAAATAGTGACCAGGTAGCATATTTTATCATAAGGGTCATTATCAGGTAGAGCTATCACACGATGCCTAAGAAACTGGTCTGTTTCATCCCTGTGCAAGGCCCAGAAAGCCAGGACTACGTACATGAGCATAATGAAAAGCACAGTGAAGAGGGTCACCGGGTTTTGGTGAACGTTCTTGAGGACCTCTAGCTGCAGGTCTATAGCATTAGGGACCACGATCACCTTGGCCGTCACATAGTGGGTATGCAGCTGAATGCTGGTCGGGTTTAAGATGGAGCTCAGCTGCCGCCTGGCCCTCCCTTTGTTCTTGCAGATACAGTGGACTTTGCGCCAGCTAGTCTCCTCCCCTAGAATGCAATTGTCTTCTCTCCAGTCGCTCTGGATCCCGTACATGTGCAAGCAGTGAACACTGAAAAGAGAAATTCTCACTAGCTCGTCACTGGGCGTCAAGACAAAACGAGCGGCCTGCAGAACCACAGATAAGGCATACTTGGATGAGTGTCCGCGCTGAGCTATCACCCGCAGCAGGGACTGGGGAAGGCAAACCACACGGGCCTCCTTCACTGAACAGGCCGGGTCAAAGAGGCCACTCGGGCTGGCAGTAGGAGGCGTGTCATGGGGCACAAGGAAGGTGGCCACCAGAGCAGTGGGGGTGATCCGACTGCCCGCATACACCAACACCTTGAACAGCACAGTCACGCTGGTCACAATGTGGACCAACAACTCCTTGACTGCTCTGCTGTCCACTTCAAAGCGAAATCCCCCTGTGGTCTTTTTCAAGGACTCATCAACCTCATCAGGCTCACTGTTGGGTCCTACTGTGAGTTTAAAAGCAGTATAGGTCAAGTTTTTTCTGATGAGGTATACTTCCACTCCATCAGGTGCGATCTCAGTCACCTCACCGTTACCTTTGGCTCCTGTCATTCTAAACCCAACCACCTCTGTTGCAATGTTCCCCCCATAATTTAACCAAGGAAAGGGGTCGTCTGCAAACTCACAAAACGTCACAGAAATTGGAGCATTTGGAGGCACATCAGGAACACTACTCACATTTAGTGTCGGATAAAAACAATTTTGGCAGCGTTGCTCTCTGGTAAAGGCCTTGGTAACATCCCACTTCTCAATTTTCTTTACGTAGATGTTCAAGTTTGAGGTCCTCAGCACAGTGGTTTCACTCCCTGGCACTATACTAGCCAATATTGTGTCTGCTAGAGATTCTACTACATAGAAAGGATCTTGAACAACTTCGTGAGGAGCAATCTGTTTAAGGATATTAGACAAAACGGTAAATACTCCAGTACTCACAATTTCTATTTGTTCAGAACGGAAGTGTGTATCTTTCTGTCGATAAGCTTGTAGTGCTTGATTTGCTTGCCATATCCTCACAGTGGCAAGTTTTTGATCACCTTGGGTGAATTCAGAGGCTTTCTGGGCTAATTCAGTAATAATTGTGACTACCTGGCTAATTTCCACCAAAGTGGTTATAGGAAGAAGGAAGGACTGATGGACGAGGTGTTTTCGGATATTGGTTTTGACATCGAGGAGCGTTAAGTCAGTTTTCATGCTATTCAAAATGGAAGCTACTGTATATAGTAGGTAACCCGCAGATAAAAAATCCTGCTTCTGAAGCAAAGTAGATAGCGATGAGTTGGGCCCCATGGTAGCACTGAGTAACTGATGCAGCACAGCGCTCGGCGAGCTCTCATCAGCAGGAGCCCGCACAGTGGCATACAAAGTCACCTGAGAAAAAGCTCCCAGAGAGTCATAAACCTGAACATAGAGCTTCACGGCGTAATGATTAGTCAACACACCCACTGGGAGAAAGAAAGGGGGTGCTCTAGACTGAGTCCCCAAGTACGGGATGGCCCCCAAGGTGTTCTCTTTTAAAGAACTTATTTCACCAATACTGTACAAATTGGAAACTATTATTTTATATGTAAGAGGGATATCCTTATCCTTAAAATTACTGCACCCGATGACAAATTTAGTTACAAATGCAACTCCTTTCGCTGGATTAATTTTGCATTCTCCGATTTGAGGGGCGTGGTTAATAACAAAGCCATGCCTAAAGACCAAGATCACTCCACCCCAAGTTGCTATATAGAGAGAAATCCAATACCTCTTTTCCAAAAACTGCCTAAAAGCAAAAGCCTTTATAGACAAATAAGCACCATTTCTCCCTGTTGTAGTTTGCCCCATCCAATCAAACGGCATCTCACGAGCTATACTCGACAAAACTGACCATTTATAGAAGATGCGACTTACGGCACAATTTGTGCAATTTAAAAACAAAGAAAATCGATCAGATACAATTAAAATTCTACCACAATTTTCGATACATGAAATGCTTGCTTTAGGTGTTGGTCCTTGGAGCACGTGCACCCTTTTATCAGAAAATGCTGTTCTGTCACTTTTCTGTATTACCATTCTGAAAAAATACGCACGGTTACCTTTAAGTGTTTCTGGTAAAAGTGTTAGTACAGGGCCAGAGGCCCCTGTCCAGTGCAGGTCCGTCTGCCCCGGGTGACAAACTTGGCTACTTGACACTGTGATTTTATCTCCATGGTAGTTCTCTCCATTGGTGGTACAGTACCAGGAAAAACTGAGTCCCTCTAATGGGTTGTCTGCATCTGGATCAGAGGACATGGTACCATTCAGAACCAGCCCATCTGTGAAATTCATTGTTATTCTGTAATCTCCAGAAATAACGGCCTTCAGGCGACTTCTAACAACCTCCACGTAGATGTAATCTGAGTCTTTTACCAAAGGCATTTCTGGATCCGATGTGGTAATGGCCACGACGAAATTAACCACATACATCCCCCAAATTAAAGACGACTTGGGAATATGGAGGAATGATGAATTTACGTTTGTCTGGAGTTGTGGCACATCCAAAGGTTTAGTCCAGTCTGGCAGGTGCAATGCAGAAGGCACTGAAAAGATCTGCCAATACTGCGTAATGGAGAGGGCATCTGGGCAGTCCATCTCCACGGTGGCGTTAATGGTAGCTTCCGTCTTGCAGGTCAACAGCACCGGCGAAGGAGTTTCCTTCCCGTTGACCTTTACCTGGTTGATAAGACAGGGTTTCATCTGACAGGACACCGAAGACTCGATGGCTTTGGGAGTGAATGAGTTGACAGCTTCTAGAGTCACGGGCTTGGGGCCGTCCGTGGGACACCTGGTTTCGGCCACGAAGCCCGCGTGCGGCTGGGGGCCGGCGGGCAGGATGGAGCGGGCGGAGAAGCGGGGGGCCGCCGAGGCGTTGCGGGGGCGCCGCGTCTCCCCCGGCCCGAGCAGCCGCAGGCGGAAGGTC